GCATCTCCCCTCAAGTGACAAATCACCCCTTCCCTGCCTGCTTTGTGTGATGTTCACTCCTGCACTGGTGGTATTTTTGTGTCCTCTCTCTCTCTGCCCAGCAGAAATGACTACAGAGATAATTTTTGGTCTCAGTGTGACTCTGCCAGGCTCCATCCAGGCCCTGGGAAGGCAGCAGAAGGTTTTTCACTGGCTCACATGCAGCCCTGGTGGGGTGTTTCTCTGTTTAACAGGCTGTATATCGTAAATATCCTGATGGAAATTAATTATGCAGAGTGCACATTTAGTTTTGGGTGTCTCTCTAAAGAAATACCAACTTCATGATTACAGCAGTGCATGGGTATAGCAAATTTTGGGGTTTAAGGGAGTGGGAAAGAAGGTTTGTTCATGCACACAGGTGAGTTTTAGGGGATGGTGGTGTGAAGGTTGCTGGGTTTTGTTGTTGCTTGTGTTTGTTTTTTCTTTTTAAAGAAACAAATTGGTGTTACTCTGTTTTCTCCAGCAGTTCTCATTACCAACATAGCTATTACAATGTGCTGAGGCTGTTATTTGCCCTCAAGAGCTGAGAGAGTGGGATTTCCGTTCTTTTTAATAATGTGACTTTTACCAGGGCGAGTGGGCTGTGAATTAGTGCTTCATTATGGGCTGACATCAAACAGAGTCCCCACTTCAGAATTACCCACTCAAGAAAACAGCTTAGATTTGGTTGTCTGACTCATTTAGGCACTTGAACATCCTACCAATACAGAATTACACCTAAAGTATATTTAACAAGTTCTGCTGCTTTGAATAACAGTGGGTCTGATGCAGCAGTACAATACATATTTTCATGGCTGTTAAGGGACAATTATGTTTGTAGTGCTTGAATCCTTGTTCTGCAGTTTTCAAAACATGGTAGAATTGCTAACAAACATGTTGACAATAAAGAGCAATTGATACAAGTGTGATCAGATGCTTGGGTGTTGCTGGATTTGGAGTTGGAAACATGAATTTAAAAAAAAAAGTTGGAAAATTGAATCCTGCTCCTCTCACAGTGAATGTGTTCTGTGCATTACTTAAAAAAATAAACAGGATTTGGTGCAAGTTCTAGCAGTGCCTGCAAATCTTACAAAGTTCTGTGTACAGAACTGGTGTCTGGGGGTGAAATATCACACAGGTTTCTTGATAAAACACCACATAACTCAGCATTGCCACACGCCAGCAGCTGTGTGTGTGGAGCAGCTTTGTCATCAGGAATGCTCTGAATTTTTCATAGCACCATGTTCTGTGTCTCTCCAGAGCATGGCTGTGCTGTTTGATGTGATCTTGACCCGTCCTTTATCAATTACACAAGATCACAAAACAGAAACCTTGCAGTGAATGTGGTCAGCAGGCTCTGAGATGGGTTCTGATTTATTCTTTTATTAAAATGTCGCTGTTCTCAGTCTCATTTAGCTTACAGAGATGCTCCAGGTCGTGTTTTCCCCTCCTGAATCCACAGATTTTTATTTTATCTTCTAATTGTCCTGAGTATCACAGGAGTGTTCCAGTGCAGCTGTTACAGGTTTGGTGCTCACATTGCTGTCACTCCACATTTTGGAATCTGTCTCAGCCACTTGAAGTCTCAGTGCTTGAGACTGAAAACTTGGCTTGACCAAAAGGAGGGAACCCACTGGAGTGTGCAGTTTTCACACCCTTTTTTGTATGGGTAGGGACTCGTTCTGTTGTTCTCACTTTGGGCAGAATCAAAGACTTTTCAAGAAAGCTGAATTGTGTTTTTTCCTCCATTTTACTGCAGTGGTGTGTATATTTCAGTTGATGCAACTTTATGGACTTGGTACTAAAGCAATGAGGCAAATACATGTATTAGCAGGGCAAGGGAGAAGAAAATGCTGTTTCAGGAGACAGAAAGCCTCAGTTGCTAATTTTAAACTTCCTTCTATATGGCAAACTATAAACAGGCAATAAAAGCATTTAATTTGCAAATTACAGTTCTAGCTTGGTTTTTATGTTGGATTTTCTTCTCTTGTGGTCAGGATTTTTGTAATATTTTTACCAAAATATTTTCAGTGGCAGGATTCAAGCCTTTGCCTGGTAGGGTTAAGTAAATTGTTAATTTTGTCCATTAACAGTTGCTTTTCAGATGAAAGGAGATTAGAAGTGAGGTGTAATAAATGCAAGGAGGAAGTGAAAAGATTAAGGCAAGAGAAACTAATGAAAGCACTTCAGTTTAGTGACCAGTTTGAGAGAGTTTTAAAGATCTGCTGATTAATAAACAAGTCTTTAGTCCAGCAGATAAAATGCAGAAATACTTTGTGTGTTTCTGGCCTTTTGTTTCGCTGATCAATGGGATATTGTCATCCCATGGGTGCTGAAAAGGGAATCCTGTTCTGACTCACCACTCCTCAGAACCATCTTCTGTCCTGATCTCTGGTCTTTGTTTGCAGTTATATTTTATCTATTGAGACGTTCCAGCAGGATGACAGCCTCTGATTTCACAGGGATACAGTTCAATCTGTAAAAGCAAACAAGCTTTGCCATTATTAGTCCACCTTTTAAGGGATTTTATTTACCCTGAGGACTTCATGTCCCTTCCCAATGAGTTCATGTAATAATAAGTTTTGTTAGAAGACACAGCTCTCCTCCCTGGTGTTATTGTGCCTTGGATAGTGGCTTTATTAAAAATCAAACAAAACCCTAACAAAGAAGCTCAAGGATAAACAGTCACTCTTGATACACTTCCAAACAATGAATTTGACCTTCATTCCTCTGAATCTGCTGCAGGAACACCTGAAAATCAGACCAGCATCATGTTCAGGAGCAGCCAGTGCTCTCCAAGGTCAGAGATTGGGACTTCACTGTGTAATGCTAATAAAGAGCCCTGCTCCTGTTTTGCATGCTGATTTTTCATTATCAAAGCCATGCCGGACAAGAGAATGCAGAAGTTTGTAGAGAAATTCAGTGCTGGTATTTTGGCAGCAGTCTGATGAGTGTGGTGGTTGAGCTGCTCTGGAAGGTGGGATGGGGAGCTTCCTGCTAATTTGTGGGAAATTATTCTTTTATTGTAGCATGGTCGTATTCTCCATTTTTGGATGGATATGCATTGCTGCTTGTTTCCCCAAAAACTGCTTTTCTGTGACAGCAGTCTTCACCTGTAATCAGTGTCTAATAATTCCAATTTTCACAATATTGCAGCAGCTCAAACTGCAGGGCTGTGGTGGGTCCTCTCTGGTTACCTCTGGGCTGATTGCCTTCCCAATCCTCCAGCACATCCCACATCCCTTCCCAAGGTGCTCCCACCCAATCCCATCCTGCCATTTGTTGGACAACACAAAGACAAGGAAGGTTCTGAAGGTCTGTAGTTGCAATAAAATGAGCACATGGGCTTAAAAACTCATTTCAGTTATGGAAATTGTATTATTTAAGATGTATGACTTCTGATGGTTGTGATGTAAGAGGGCAACATGTAGTCTAAATGAATTTTTATGTAAAATATTAATTCTTTGGGTGTGATTCATCCTGGAACAGAGCAGTGTGTGTTCTCTGAGGTGCTGTCAGCTCCTGGTTTTTCCTTGCATGGCTCTGAGGAATGGTCTTGGGGCAGCTGATGAATGTACAGTGTTATGGCAGAAAGAGCAAGGTGCTGGAAAGGCCTGAAACAATAATTTAAGGCTGTGCTGTTTTGATCCCTGAGTGAAATCACTTTGGCTGGGGTTTTATGTGACTTCTCCATCACATCCAGCAAAAGGATCTGAGTTTATTCTGAGGATACCTGCATGGGAATTCACTTGGAAAGCCGAAAACTGCCTAGGAAACATTCCTGTGAACTTGATGTGCACTAACAAAGGACTGTACAACGCTCTCTTACTGCAGCATTTTCTAAAGGAAGCATTGAAATTCTGATCGCTTTTATTCAGTGTTTCACTGTAACAGCTGTTGCTTTGCAGTAATAAAAAATGCTGTATTTTGGGGAAATAGCTGCTGTTGGTCAACTCACTGCTCCTATTAGGCTTGGTTATAAAGAAAGCCTTATTTAAACACTGTGTTAGTTTAGTATCCTATGCAAAGTTATAAACTTTTTTTTAAATGTCTTTTAGGGGTTATTTATGGAAAAGCCTTTGTAAGTGTAGGACTTTAATCTTGGCTTATATTACATGTTGTATTTTGCTTATTTTAAGGGTATAATGAGGACCAAATTTCTTGGGTCTTGACTCACCAGTTAGAGGGAAAACCAGTATAAATGTATGATAAAATATTTATATTTATGGAAACTGAAGTTTTTGCTTCCCCCCAAGAAGTGCCGGACGATGCTGTGTGTGATTTTTGGGGTGTCCTGTGCAAGGCCAGGAGATGGACTCAATAATCCTTGTGGATCCCTTCCACCTCAGGGTGCCCCGTGATCCTTACACAGCTTAAAATAATCTCAGAGAGCCGAGGCCAGTCAGAGCAGAGCACTGGGTCAGCACACCGAGCTGCAGGGCTCTGGCTTAGTGATGCTCCAGGGGATTCTCCTGCAGGAATATGGTCCAGGAGGTTCCTTGCTCTTGGGAAAGATCCATGTCTGTTTTCTGAATAGCTATTATTAATGTTATTTTACATTGGACATGGGAGCTTGATGCTGTGTTCAGCCTTGAAAGAAGAAGAAACATCTCCAAAGAAACAGCGGCTTAAGGACCTATTTTTAAGTTATTGGCTCCTTTTTGGTTATCAAAGTCCTGTAGCAGAAGCCAGGCATAAGAGCAGAATTAGCCACAGGATCTGTTGAATTATCTCACTGCAGATTAGGTCCCTTCAGCCCTAATTCTGTCATCCCCCCTCGTGCCAGGCAGCCTTTTCTTCTGCCCGGGCTGCGCTGGGTCTGCCGGGTTCAGCTGCAGGAGATGGGAGGTCAGGGTTTGAGAACATCAGGGTTTCAGAATGCCAGGATTTCAGAGTCAGGCTTTCAGAGTGTCAGGGTTTCAGAGTGTCGCTGTCCTGTCTGTGGTGTTGCTGATGCCCTGCTCGCTGCTGTTCCCCTGCAGACGTGGAGAGCTCCAGGATGAAGATGAGGAGCGCGGTGTCGGTGCGCGAGGGCCAGGGCGTCGTGCTGCTCTGCGGGACCCCGCCCCGGGCTGGAGGTAAGGGGCTCCCTCGGGGTGGTGGGGCTGGGCAGCTTCCCTGGAAAGGCTAAAAAGCAGAATTATAACGATATATGAGTTCTGAGTAAAAGCAGGGAGAAAGAAACCAAACACAAAGGGCTGGGGAGGGAAGTGTTTAGGAGGATTTACTTTTATCTCGAAATGCCTTTCTCGTTCCTAGTAATTTCTGTGCACTTAATGTGTCTGATTTTTATGGGGTTTCCTGTAATTAATGGAGTATCTTCTACAGTTGCATTCTGCCCAATTTCACAATTGCTGAGCCTCAGTGAATCCAGTTTTCCCTGTGAGCAGAGAATTGCAGGTTGTCTTGAACAGTGCTGGTGTCTGCCTGTGTTCTTGCAATCAAGACATTCTGTGGTGGGATGGAATGGTTCTGTGTAATTTAAACCACTGCTGCACTCAGGGGGTGAGAAAAGGGGATGTATGGATTCTTGGTGGTCCAAAAGTTGTGAGTACATTTCTTCCCTCATTCTGCATCTTCAGTCTGACTAATTGCTATTGAGTCTGAAGTAATACCCAAAAGGAACTGGTTTTATTGTTTTTAATTGATACGGAGTGTCCTTATTGAAGGGCTGTGATGTTAAACATTAGATCTGATTGCAAAGACAAGGTAATAAAAGCTAGACATTATATTCAATAATATAGGTGTTGCGGCCTCATAAATTTGGCAGAGTCCAAGCAGACACAGCCATAAAGTGGCAATTTTACAACTGTCTGAGCTTGCAGAATTTTTTCCCCTCTAAACTGATACATACTCTTAAATCATCTTTATAGCCTTGCAACAGCTTTGTCTTTCAGCAGCTGAGGAAATGGGTCATTCCCCCAGCTATCTATAAGAATTAGAATGATTAAATTTTCCTTCTAGATGCAGCCCAAGGCCTGAACTGCCCCAGCTGTTCCTACAGCTGTGGCTGTGTGTGGGTTTGCACCCAGAGGTGATGGCCAAGCTGAGGCAGCACTGCCTGACTCTGGCAAGGTTTAAGTTTGAGGTGTGGAACAGGAGGTGATGCCAGACGTGCTCATGGTGCTGGGAACAGTGGCTGGAAGAGGTGAGAATTCCTCCTGCAGTCAGCAGATGGGAGATGATTGACACCCCCACACTAATTGTGCTATGCAAAAACAGAGCTGAGCTCCCAGAGTTACCAAATGGGATTGAGAACTGGTACCAGAAATATTTCAAATCCTTGAGTCTGTCTGAGAGTTGGAGGATTAACTGTTGAAGTTTCCAGGAGATGTGGAGCAAGGTAGAAAAAGCCCCTCTCCATTTTTCACTGAAATAAAGCTGTAGCAAGGTGACACAAAACACACAGGATGGGATGCAGGGCAGGAAGTCTGGGATAAAACGTCCAGCCAGGAAGCAGAAGTGGTTTGTTAGGAAGATCAGGGATGGTTTAGGACCAGCTGACCTGGCCTGAGGGATGTTCAGCCCTTTCCAGATCAGTGATCTGACTCTTTTTTTTTTTTTTTTTTTTTTTTTTAACTTGGAGTCTGTATTTATTGCGCTGAGCTATCAAATAATTCCAGACAATACTAATTCTAAAAACGTGCTCCACCAGCTTGTTTCCTCTCCCTCTGTAGCCCCCAAAATACTCTGCTTTTGTTTTCTGGTGTGTTCTGCAGTTTCTAAGATCTTGCTAACTTAATTGCACTTATTTCTTGCATTCTCTGCAAAGAGTTTGCAAGAAGAGACTTGATTAAATAGTGATTATTCCTCCATGCACAGCATCCCGGTTACAATAGAAACCAATGCTCATCCCTAAAGAAATGCCAGCTCATAGTATGGAAAAAGAAAATTGCTTCCCTTCTGCAATTTATCATATTTTTTCCTTGCTTATCTTAGACACAGATATTTACATAAATCATATGAATGTCCCTTTTCAATGGGGAGCAAATTATTCCTGCAGTGAGCAGTGGCTTTGTCCTTTTGAGTGTGCAGTTCCAGCTCCTCTGGGCTGTGGGCATCCAGCATTAAACCAGCAATGAAACTCCATTTACAAATCACAAACCACTCCAATACTTTCTTTAGAGTTACCATATTTCCCCTTTCTGGAAATTAAATAAAATTCACTTTTTTTACCAGTCTTGTTAGCGTGGAAGATTTGGTAAATGACTGGATTTGAGTGTGAAGACATTTTTTCCCCAAATATTTTTCTGGTCCAGGCTGGTTTTATGTTAAATACCCTAAGTTGTCTCATAATTGAGCAGTGATGTTTGGATAATTAAGATGGTCATCTGTCATCGTTCTGCATGGCCATACTTCTGGATCTTTGAATTCTGTTGCAGGGAACCTGTTAAAATACCCCCTTTTTGCCACCAAAAATCAGTAAATCATCTCACCCATATACTCAAAAGGTAAAATAACATCAAAAATGGATTTATGCAGCTCTCCCGATACTTTTCCAGTTGTTACGACCTTTAGATTTCACTGAAATCTCTACAGCTATTTTGACTTTTTACTGCATTACTGTGATGTCTTTAATGGTTTTAAAGGGCTGTCGATCAACAAACATCTCAATATCCTCAACTCAATGTTGGACACAATTAATGTGCAGCTGGTTAAAAAACATTCATGTGATGCTAATTTTTGCCCATTCTGCCAAGAATGAGAAAAGCTAGACATATGGAGATCTAAAAATGATTTTTCTCTGCTACTGATTTTGTTCCAAAATTGGTATCTAACGAGTGACAAAGCCTTCAGTAAAGCAAATCTGAGTTCCTGTAGGGTTTTACCTCCTGTTACCACTGTACTGTATTGTGGTTATTGTGTAGCTCGTCTTCAGCTGTTATTTCTGTTCCTATATATTGTGATTTATATTTGTTTAGTACAGTCAGTTTTCCTCAGCTGACATTGATTTTGAATTTATGAGGTGTTTCTGCTCTTCAAGAGAGGAGCAGGCAATGAGGCATGGTCCTTTTGTGTTGTCTGGGGTGGTTTAAAACTGCTTTATACACAGAGAAAAAGATGATTTTTAATGGTAGAAGTGACGATTTGCTTGATGGTTACTTGAACATTTCAACAAATATTAGTTTGCCTGGAAAAGCACGACATTAGTTTTAGATTGGTGTACTTCCTGCTGCATTATTCCTATGGGAATGTGACCATAACCCAGGAGAACTTAAATAAATAACAAGAATTTTGTGGAGCTGATGAGCTGTTACTTGGAAATTGCAAGGAAATTCTGCTTTATTCCTAATTAGCCTTGTGTGCTCTGTGTTCCTGTTTGATGCAGTATGGCAGGGATGTTCCTACATGGATAAAGCAGCAAGGATTTGTCCTCCCTCTTCATATAAGTCCCTGATAAATGTAGGTTTAATCCATCAATGAGGCAGGATTTGAAGGGCAGGGATCAATTCAGCTCACAGCATATTGTGTCAGAGTTGTGACATGCTGATAGGAAATAATATTAGATCATGGAAAAATAGATCCCAATTTATTGCTCAGTGTTTGCTGTGACAAATCCTTCACTGAATAATGTCATGTCTGTTCCAAATGGGTGTTTAGACTTGCAGATTTTTGCTCGTGTCTCTTGTATTGCCATTTGGAGACCTGCAAGTTCCAGCAGGGCTCTGCTTCATGAATAACATGGCATGGAAAGAGTCTCAGATGCCAGAAATATTTGGATGCTCTGATTGCTTCTCTTCTGCAGCTCTTGAATAGCAACATGCTATTTTTTTTCGGGGAAATGGAAGTTGAATTAATTGTACATATTTGGCTTTGGAAATGTTTTATACCTTTAAAACAAAGCAAAGTTAAACAGGTGCAGCTCCAGAATAGGAGTTCTGTGCTGTTGTACAGCAGTGTTTTGGGTTGGGAGAGACCTTAAAGATCTGATTTCATCCCATGGGCAGGGACACCTTCCCCTGTCCCAGGCTGCTCCCAAGCCCCAGTGTCCAGCCTGGCCTTGGACATTCCAGGGATCCAGGGGCAGCCCCAGCTGCTGTGGGCACCCTGTGATTGAAACAGTCTGCTAGGGAGGAATTCCCAATATCCCATCTAAACTCCCCTTTTCCCATCCTGGTTTTCACCTTTGCTTCCTGCTGTCATTGCAGGCTGTGGATGACACGCGTCGGGGCATCAGCAATAAATCACACGTGCAGGGCTTCTTGCACAAAAATGTACTTTAAGGAGAGTGGCACCTTGAATGTTGTAAGAGCACTGGCCTTAGAAATGGCTCCATAGTGTTCCTGTGCTGTTTCAGTCTGCCAAGGAGAAGTGGCATTTTTATTTAAAAACATATTTTTCAATAGTCCTGCTGGTGTCATCATCATCATCTGCACAAATTTCAGCTGACAGTTTGAAATCAAATGGTACCTGAGAGACACTTATGTTTGTCCATGTGAGGGGAAATAATACATGTTCACAGCTGGATCTTCCAGGGATTTCTGTCTGCCAGAGCATTGTTTTCACCACCAGTACCAAACCACTGCTGCAGGGACACTCTGCTGTACACTTGGTCAAATGCAGTCATTCTGAAGCACTTTCTCCTTTTGATAAACCTGTTTTCCAGGCTGAGGTAATCCAGGCTGAAATTAGTACATCTTACTTATAAATTATAATTAATATATCTTTTTATAGATTTATTATTCTTATAAATCTTATAATTATTTTTTATATATTTATATATTTGTGCACCATCTTCAGTCACTTTATAGTGCATGTTTTTAAGCTGACAGGGAGGAGGATAAATTACCTGAGAAGCTTTGTGCAGTTTCTTACCCCAAAATCTTAGAGAACTCTTGAACTCTACGTTCCATTGTGCAGTATCTCTTGGAAGAATGTGGGGATGGAAAGAAAAAGGGAGAAGTTGATTAGGAAAAACCAAATTGCAAGAAAAAAATTCAGGTTGAACCTTTTTACTTTCCCAGTCCCAGGTATATGAGTTCTGCCTTGGGGGAAAAAGAAGAAAACTGGAGACAATAACTGCATTTGGCTCTCCACCTAGTTTATTTTTATCCCTAAATTGTGACTGTGGGGTATT